CAGCGAAGGGCCAAGAAGATGATGAGGGGACTGGAGCATCCCTCCTGTGAAGAAGGGCTGAGAGAGCTGGGTCTGTTCAGCCCGGAAAAGAGCAGGCTCAGGGAAATCTTGATCCAGGTTCATACCTGAAGGGAGGGTGCAAAGAGAACGGGATCGGGCTCTCCTCAGTGGTGCCCAGTGACAGGACCAGATCGATGGGCACAAACTGAAATACAGGAGGTTTCCTCTGAACATCAGGAGACATTCTTTCACTGTGAGGGTGACTGAGCACTGGCACAGGTTACCCAGGGAAGCAGTGGAGTGTCCATCCTTGGCGATATTCAGAACTTGTCTGGACGTGGTCCTGGGCAACCAGGACCTGCTCAAGCAGGAGGGCTGGACCAGTTGGCCTTCAGAAGTCCCTTCCAACCTCAACCCATCTGTGAGTCTGTGAAAAGTATTTAATCCTCAAAACTATTATTAAAATAGCAACCTAATATGGAAATTATTTTTACTATCTCTTGTCTTAAAGTCTGTGTGAAAATAATACTTTTTTTTGAAGACCTTAACTTGCAGCGGTTCTGAATAGGAAACATTAGTACGCAATAGGCAATACCTTACATCTAGGTAAGATAATGATTCACTTTGACAAAAGTTTCATTTTTGACAAAGTACCTTTTCACACAGTTGTTTCCTAAGAAATGAGTTACTTTGGTTAATGCTGGTGCTTGAAGAAAGAGTAAAAACTTCTGAGTGAGCATATTCCTCTCCTGTAATTTAATTGCTTGAATATTCAGGAATTAACAGGGTATGCTGAAAAACTTTATTTCTCAAATTTTCTCTGAAATTAAAGAGCCTGTATTTTGTTACTGGTGGAAGGTTCAACAGTGGAAGAACTTCAAGCTGAAGCCTCGGGTTAAATCCTTGAACAGGGATGAATGTGACAGTTTTGCTCTGCAGTAGCTTTCTTTTGAGATGTGAACAGGAACAACTTTTTAATTCCTTTAAAGGGAGAGGGGCAGGATGTATGCCAGTCAGCCTAGTTGAATTTTAACTAGTGCTTAAAGAACCTCAATAAATCATAGCAGTAGGCAGGTGAAGAAAAGGATTTTGTATGGAAATGAGGGATAGTGGTGTGGTGCTTGGTTATGACAAAGTTGTCTTCTATGTTAACTTCCATATGGTGAAAGTCATGATGTACTAAAAAAGTCTGAAGCTCTCATATGTGTGTGCTTGCCTTGCCTGGTAGGCTTAATAAGAATGAATAGTTAATTTTCTTCTCCTTTTAATGGTTGCTCTTACCTTTCTGGAGCTTTCATCTTTTGGGCTTGAGGTTTTTGTTGATTGCATTCTTCTTGAAATTGAATTTGTATGAAAAATAGCTCAACACCATTAGAAGAGATTGAGAAGTGTTATTTAAAATCAAATTTGCCTTCTGGAAAACACGAATGACACATGGCACTTGGGTTTTCTTTTTTTCTTTCAAGACATTTTCAGCTTGACTTGGTAAAAATCAGATACAGGAATAACTAACCTTCATTAAGACTAAATGCTTTTGGGTGTGGTAGAAATTTTAATATTTAAACAGTTTAAAAATCTTTTACTGATTACATGCAGGACTTCTATGACTAATGTTAAGCTTGTGCATGTGTAATAAAAGTAGCAAAATGAAAAATTAATGAAAGTGGTGGAGGTTTTTAACCTCATTCAAGGTACAGCTTACAAGCAGTTGATAAAGCAAGAGCTGCCCAAGATCAGTGAGAGAAGCTTTGGTTTCTCAGAATCCTGGTTCACGTAAATATGTTTGCACCTTGAACAAAACTTGACTTTGTAAAAAGCACAGTTGATGTTCATAGGCTTTGTTTGCACACTGCTTTCAGAACCCTGAACAATGTGTTCTGTTGCAATCTGTTGTCTCCCTTGTGTGCCGTATATGTTTTTAGTGATCATATCAGTACTGATTTTCATCATCACAATCACTTACTCACATTGCAAGTCTGTTGATTGAACATTTAACTCCTGTATGCAAAGAGGTAGAAAATTGATGGCACAAAAGTGCTTAGTTTCAAGTTTAAGCTGTATGCTTAACCATCTCTGATACCAACCAGATCTCAATATCATATTTATCCCTGTTGCAACAGACCATTACCTTTTGCATTAAAATTAATATGAAAATCTGTGTTATAAATAGACACAAACACTATTTTTATATATGCCTGGACAATTTTTGTGCAAATCTGAAAGGTTCCCTTTAGGACATGTCTTCATAAACCACTTCCTCTTATAAGGATCAGTGTGGATGTATTGAACGCCAAGAAAAGATGCGTAATAGGGATGCTTTTTAAATATTTGTGAAAAATGATTTAACATCTGCCCATTGCTTAGAAAGGGAATATGATGTATGAATAGTTGAGCTACTGTAATCCAGAAATTATTTATTTTTATGTATTCTTATTTTGATCATGGTGAGCAGAAGGATGAGCATCCCTGAACTTGGGCAAGATTGTTAGTATGGGTCTCCCAGTGTGTTACCTTGTTTTGTTGAAATAAGTAAAATTTGTTTCACTAGAGGCATCCCTTTTGTATAAAGAATTAATTGTTGATCCCGGATCTTTTAGTGAAGGTTACATTGTGTTACTGTCAGTTCAGTATATTTAGGAACATGAGACATGTGGCATCAAAATAAGGAAAGAGCATATAGCAAACAGCTTGCTTTATTTAAGTCTTGGGAAAGCTGAAGGTTTACATAGTATTTACATGTGTTACATATACTATACATATTGTCCTAGGACATCTGCATGTCCTATAGTTCTGCTTCACATAGTACTATGTACTTGTACTGAGTGGAGAGTTGTATCGGAGAAGCCTGAATAATAGTAGAAAGGTTGCTGTAGCAAGGGAACACAGATAGTGGAAAAAATACATGGGGGAATAAAGCACTGAGGGATTGAGCCTGTTGTTGAGAGGGTAATGTTTGAAGACACCTGCTGAAGTACCTAAATTTTACCAAAACATTCTTCAAGTTACTTTTCTAATAGTGCAGGCTATTTTTTTTACAACTTTTTTTCCACATAAAAACTACTTTACACCATCTATTCATTCTTTTAGGTACAAGTATTCTGGTGAAGTCAGTGGTAGTCTGAAAACTGCAAGTGTTGAGAAACCTGGATTGCAGTAGGTTTACAGTTCTACCATATTGGATAACACTACAGATTCTATTGGTTCTCCTTTCATCTTACCAAATTTACTCCAGAATACTGATCTTTCTGGGCAAGAATTAGATGAAATGGCATTGAAGTATAATGTGATAAGCTTCTTGCCCTCTGTTGTGGATTAACCCCAGCTGGCAACTGAGCCCCACGCAGCTGCTTGCTCACTCCCCCCACAATGGGATGGGGGAGAGAATCGGACGGGTAAAAGCAAGAGAACTCATGGGTTGAGATAAAGACAGTTTAATTAAGTAAAGCAAAAGCCACGCATGCAAGCAAAGCAAAACAAGGAATTAATTCGCTGCTTCCCATGGGCAACCAGCTCCAGGAAAGCAGGGCTCCATCATGCATAACGGTGACTTGGGAAGACAAATGCTGTCACTCTGAATGTCCCCCCCCTTCTTGCTCCAGCTTTCCATGCTGAGCATGATGTCATATGGTGTGGGACATCCCTTTGGTCAGTTGGGGTCAGCTGTCCTGGCTGTGCCCCCTCCCAGCTTCCTGTGCACCCCCAGCCTCCTTGCTGGTGGGGTGGGGTGAGAAGCGGAAAAGGCCTTGACTCAGTGTGAATACTGCTCAGCAGTAACTAAAATATCCCTGTGTTATCAATGCTGCTTCCAACACAAATCCAAACCATAGCCCCATACTAGCTACTACGGAGAAAACTAACTCTACCCAGCCAAAACCAGCACGGCCTCTGCCACCAACATTGAGATTGGCTGTGAAAAAATGTAAGCATAAACAGTAACTCCAGTGACCAGTTCTGAGTCTCAGTCTGTGTCTAGACTACTAAATTAAACAAGCCTGGCAACTTTCCTTGATGCTTAGGGCCAGCTGGCACAAAATGGCCTGTTTGTGCTGGTGTACACTCACCCGATAAAGCAAAGGCTGCAAACTGCCTATTTGAAGGGATCTCAAATCTTTTCACTGGTGAATAGTGCCTGGAAATTGGCTGGGAGAGTCCTGGTTGATGTGGGCCAAAAGCATGCCAGGGAATATTTTAACAAATTACTGGTAGTCTTGTTTAGTGGTGGAGAACACTTCCTGACCTTGCCTTGCTTTTCTTCTTGCACTTTTTCTTCCTGTTGGGAGACAGGAAAAAAAAATGGTCAAAGAAAATAACAAGCAAGTTAAGTAAGGGAAGACACTTTTAAACTTTTGTATCAAAGCAATGGTAGCTCTTAGAGCAGCACTGCCTCACTTAGTCCAGGTTATTGCTAGCCTGTACCTCTAGAAGAATGTAGGAGAAGCAGGTGGAGCCTAGGAGGAATTGAGAGAGTTGTAGATGTCCTGCTGGCTTACAAGAATTGCATGATTTTGCTGAGAGGTCTTAAAATGTTCTTTTGTTTTTAAAAAGAATCTCTCAAATGCTATATTAATGTGAGTGTCTTTTTGTTGGAAAAGCTTCATGTTGTGATGACGGTGTGTAATAAAGGGAGGAGTTGTTTCAGGAGTACAGTGTGAAAGAATGTTCAAAGGAGATAAGTAATTGGCTTATCTAACATTTTGACGATGTACAGGAAGAGAACTGTGGGTTTGGTAGACCCTCCCAAGTTAGAAATTCACGAAGATAGTGTTTTCTTTTAATATGCAGCAGTTTTTGGTTTGCATTGCTCTGCTGCAAAATGCTTTATTTTACTAAACATTTTTGTCAACTACAAACCACTGTCTGCTTAGAGTATTTATTAAGTGGGGAATGAGCACAGGTTTCATAATCCCTTCTTAAAACTTTCTAAGTATCATCCCCATTGCTCTCACTTAGTCTTTTACAGCTTTATTTTACATATATGGTTTTGTCTTGTATTTTTGCAGAGGATGACAAATAGCAGCAGCTCCCCTAGCCTTCTCAATGATAGTGCCAAGCAGTACGCAGGCCACGGTAAGTACTTTTAAAGTAGTATGTATAAAAGTATGTTTGGAAATTTAAGAGATTCACATTAGTAAAGCTGAGACTTAAGGGAGGTTTTTTCTCCTCTGATTTGATTTGAGATGCAGTGGAACTTCATTTTTTAAGAGTAGTATATTGTGTGACTCGGGGGGGGGAAACTAAGGAAAAAGAAAAAAGTTTGAATAGCCACTGCAAAGCACTGATAGCTTAAATAAGCGTTGATATTGCTCCATAGTAGTATTCCTTTTTATTATTATTGTGTGGAATGAATGTACAGGGTTTTATTCTTAAATTTAGGTTGTACGTTTTTGTGAAATGTATCACATAACTGATGATTTTTCATAGATGTTAAGTTTTGTCCTGTAAGCAGTACTTTACATCTTAGATTTTTTTTTTTCCCTTCTACTGGGAATATGGTTTTCAACCAAACAAAATGTCTCCATACTGCAGGCCAACATACTCACTGAATTACTGTGGAGGGTATATTAAAGTTCTGTAATGCACTTTCCTCAATCGCTTTCCAAATTATAACAGGCACTCCAGATTATTTCAGCTATAGCTGTCAAACTAACTTCTTTAAAGAAGAGGCTACTAATTCCTTATGGCAAGGACATACATTTAAAATATACTTCTGCTATGAAAATTGCTGTTTAAATGATGTTCAGAAATCCATTTGCATGTCTGACCCTGCAGCTAGTTTACTTACTACGGCTATGCTTTTTAAAGCATGGTAGTAACTACTATAAAATTAACTTGCTTGGAAGTTGAAAAAAAATTTTTTTTTCTTCCTCCTGGTTTATTTCCAGTAGGTTTTGTGATTAATTCTACTTCTTCTGTCTCACTGAACAATTAGCTATTCAAGGCAGTGGAGGTCTCCAGTTTTAAATGCAGTCAGAGTTTGACTGTGACAGGCCAAATAGTGATGGTGATGCATGCGAAGGAGAGAAAACAGACTGACTTTTGCAAACCAGTTTAAATTCTGTTGTGTCTCAGGTCCTTTTCTCCCCCCGTTCCACCCCAAGCTGTGCTTCACTTGTGGAGTTATCCCTTTAAGGAGTATTGATTAATGTTGAAGAAAGTGCTTCATCAAAACACCAATGTTTACAGCTGGCAGCCATCTGCTAATTTGACAGCTCTGTCCATGCAGTTTGGAGTTCTAAGTTGCATCTGTGATTGTTACTCAGTTTTTGGTGCTTCAACTCTGGGAAGGATAGATAGGGACAAAGAAAAAGCAATAAAAATCTACTAATAGAATGTAGACTTTTGCTACCTTCAGTTCTGATTTAAATTTGTGCAGAATAGTGACAGGACAAATAAGATTCACATCATTATTTGCAAGACAGTTACATAGAAGATTACTAATTTCAGGTAACTGGAGAGGAAGGCTTTGAAATGTTAGATAGACATTAAATAATGTCAACAGCAATTAAACTTACTAGCTTCTGCTAATGAGTTCCATTTCAATTGAGCAGTTGCACAGAATCTAAGAAATGCTGTGGTTTTTAGTAGTGTGGGTGCTAAACTTAGTTTTGTCAACAAGATTTTTTTCCATACAGAAATGTTAAAAAATGTAACATTTATTTTTAACATTAGAAGTATATAACGTGTTGGTTTACATTCTTTTTACAGATCCACTAACTTCACCAAATTCATCCTTGTTTAATGACTTTGCTGCCCTCAGCGTGTCTCAAAGGAGGAAGGTAGGTAACAACTACATCTTAAGTAGCATATTTATATATGAATTGACCAAGAAGATGATCTGGAATAGCTTGAAATGCTGTGTGAAACAAGGGTGGTTCTTCTAATGTTACTAGATTTATTTTGCTATGTCGCTGCTGATACAAATAAGATCTCACCACTTCATTTTTGCTATGCCAGATCTGACTGCTGCTGCTATTAATAAATATTCCAAGCACTTGTAAACTGAAGTTTATAGGAATGCTTTGAATATGAAAATTAGGACATATCCCACTGAATTTGAAAACATATGATTTTTATTGTACTGAGGCACAAGACAAGCCACCTGCAAGCCTTCATGGCATCAAGTCCTGAATACATTAAGAATCATTCCCCCATTTATTTATACGTGATGTAAAAGTAATTCTTACAGTTTGAAAGGCATTTATTTTGAAAGACACTCTATAATATTATTGGCAAGGTAGGGTCTGGGATTTTTTTCCCCCTCTAATTTGTATTGAGAAATCTTACTTTTGCTGAGGACTAGAAAGCATCTTCAAACACTTTTGACCTGCACCAACATAGGTTGTGGTGTTTTCCTCTTATATGCTTGCAAACGCAGTGGCTGGAATGAGAGACAAAAGTTTGGTTACACCAGAGTTCCTTCTCGTTTTTGTGAACTGTGGCTTATCAAAAAAGACATCTTGTCCCAACCAGTTACCAGATTTTACTTTCACTAATGACTTTAATGTTTTACTACTCTTCTTATTAGCCACTTGATCCTGAACTTCCCTGTAGTCGATAATGCATTGTCCTGAAAGCATCCTGCATCAGCATGCTTGTGACTTGTGTAGAGCTCCATTTGTGTGTTGGCAGTCAGGAGCTCTGTATCATTCATGCAGGTGAAGACTGGGCTTAAAGATAATTACCACGGTTGGCCCATCAGACTAATGTTCCTTGAAATGAAATGCTGTTGTAGAATGTTAACTTCCTAGTATTATGATGTATCCAAACTACATGGAATCTCTGAATTGCACTTTTCCTTAATGCCAGTATAGTGCACCGGAAGTTGGATGTAAATAACTATAAATGTGTTCTTTATCCACTTATTGAGGATAATAAGAATGAAGATAAGCATACACTCCTTTTTAACTCAGTCTGCAAGCTCACTCTCTCTATATATGCACGGAAGTGTCAGTGTGTGCTTATGTATACAAACCACAAGCACAAAAGAAAATGCACTATCATACAGAAGTATTACCAGAGGAACCACTGCCTCTAATATTAAAAACTACTTCAAAGTGCATCAAAACAGTAGAAAATGGAAGCAAACAGATTAATGTTTGAGTGTAAAGCTTAAATAACTCAAAGCTCAAATACTGATGTAGAGTCCTTTCTGACTTGATCTGTTTTCCCCAATAAAATCCGGCAAATTAAGCCACTTCCTGCTAAAACAGTGTAAAGAGAAAGATTCATCTATGAAACTGATTGACTTGGATTTTTTCTAATTAATATTTCAGACATAACTGGCATTAATTGAAAGAGGTTGTGTTTTGCTTTGCATATTAATAATTTATTGATTATTATGACTGCTATTTTGTACTGTATGTTTGTACAAAAGGTTGTTAAATAATACTAGTAGTGAGGAAGTTTTCATCTAATATTACTTGAGCTGTCTAAAATCTAGGCAGCCAGGCTCCCTCTATAGTCAGTAGAGAGAGATGAGCAGCTTAAAGGAACATTCAGCTCACATTGAGAACAGTATTTTGGAAAAGACTAGATGTCAGTGTCAGGTTTAAGTGAATAAAAATCGGTGGCTAAAGGTGAGAAATTAATCACGCTTTTGTGACTGACTTTTACTACCAAACAATACATTGCAAATAGTTGTGGATGTAGTTTTTTAATATTTTTAGTATTTGTTGAGTACAATATTCAAATTGTATTAAGTGATTTCCTCAAAAGCACTAAATGCTTGAGTGCCGGGTATTTAAAAACTTGTGTGATTTCCCCCCTCCACCCCCCACCCCAGTAACTGGGGTTTATTTAGAACTTGAGCAATGTGATTTATCTGGCTGGTGCTTGACGCCTCCTGTAACACAAGATAGATAGCCTTCTAGAAGTGTGTGCTTCTGTTCATTGACTCTAAAGGGAGCCTTGGTGACTAGCTCAAATGTAGAAGTTTATAACATCTACTATTTGAAAAAAGTCTTTCCATTTCTTGCTAAGAGCCCAGGGCTAAGGTTTTGTTTGTTCTGAACTAGCTGGCAAAACCAGCATTTCCTTCGTTTATCACTGACTTGGAGGACAGATATAATACAGTCTTGGTAAGTGAAAAAGAGCAATTGCTTTTCTTTACAAATTAGAATTGTGATATTTTAAATATTTAGAACTATTAAGTTACTTGCAACTATGTAAAACCTGCATGTTTGTGTTGTTTAAAACTGAATAGTTTCTGTAAAAGCATGTAATATGTAGCTGTGTTAAGCAAGGAAGTTAAGTTTATTAATCTTTATTGTCTCTGGATATTGCTGATCCTGTTATCCTGGCAGCCCTTTAACAATGGGCAAGCCGTATGGACATAAATATTTGATATCAATAAAATATTAAAGATAAGACTTGATTGTAATTCTGAATATCCTTGTTTTTTAATTAGACAGCTTTTTCGAAACTAGTTAGTGTGACTGGGCTATTCAAGTTACATATGATTATTTTGCTGTTTGTTTAAAAAGTAAACATAGTCCTTGAATTTTTATGAACATTCTTGAGGTTATTTTCTCTGTTTAGAAATTATTAAACTGCATTTCAATTTTAGATTTCAGGAAAGCTAAGATTACTATTTAAAGACATTTTTATAGGATACTTAAAATGAAATCAAAGGAGCTAAGTATTTCTGTAGATGGAGCCTTGGTGGAGGTTCTGTCAACTGTAAAACCTTCTGGATTTACTGTCCGGTTGTTGTAACTCCACATGCAGTAAGACAAGCAACCTTAAAGTGAATTTCCTATAAGAGATTTTCAGGTAAGTATTAATCTACAATGCACAAATAGGATTTGTGAAGCATGGAACAAAAGCTAGAGTTAGTAATAGACTAACCCTCTTTCCTGAAAATAATGATGTCACACTTATTTTATTTTTTCTTCAAATACATGTTATGCTTGTTAAAAATAGGGTGGCATTCTGAACTTGAACTTCTTGGGTGTTTTTCCTAAATTGGCTTTAGCTATTACTTAGAAGAATGCTTCTCTCTAAACCCTGAAATGATCTGGCCAGAAAACTCCTTGCATTCATTTTGGTGGTACTGGTAAACAGTTCATTGAAACATATGCAACATAACTGATCAGAATCTGTTGCCAAGGGAATGACAGCTTAACGCGCTAAAATGAAAATCTATGATGAAATGTTTGTTTACATTTGTTCTGAGACTGTTGCCACCAATCCAGGCTAAAGAGTTTCCCTACTTGTCACTGGTCAGCCTTACAGGATAGTGAAAAGCATTGCTTTTACATTTTACTTTGTTTTTTCATACCTTCAATCCTCATGAAAACTGAACTCTTCTGAAAAGTTCCTAACATTGGTTTATTTCCATTTCATTTTTTTTAATTGCTCAGTCATACCTAGAGGAGGGCCGTTAAGGTGAGAACCACTGTTAGTCTGTCCACAGGCTGCAAGGAGTGAACCCACTGCTGTAGTGAACAACTTTCAATACAATTTTAATGATATTTTGTATGTATTTTGAAGAAATTCTTTCTAGAACTCCTTCCATTGGTTTTAGGTGACTAATAGCCAGGACCAAAAGACTCTAGATTAGAATGGAAGGTATAGGAGAGATCATTTGGACTGAAGTTCACCCAGAACAGAGTGCTGCTGTTTAGTGCTCTCTGTGGAGATCTACAGCAAGTGAGGCTGGACAGCAGACTTCTTTAATTCATATACTTTGATCAGCAGTAATAAATGTGCAGAGAAAATAATTTTGAAACAAAAGACTGCCTGTATGCCTAGTCTGCATAAATGCAAGCTTTTTAATGAGTGTAAGGAGGGTTTCTCCTCATGTTAAAAGAAAACAATAAAGCTAACTTCAGGTCCTGTGGAAAACAAATTCTTAAAAACTATTGCTAGTTTATTTTTGAGTGTCCTGTCCTCCATCTGGTTTTGTTACCTGTTGGGAAGCTATACTTCTCTCCAGCTTCCTATCTCCAGCTCTGTCTTGACACCCCCGATACCTGATCTTTGTGTTGTTCACTGGCGTTCATTGAAAAGCCATGTGTGCCCCGTTTGGTCTTGCTGTATTTACCCTCAATGAAAATGTGCTGAGACAGTTGTTTTGTGTTTCATAGGCTCCTGAATACCGTCTCAGAAGCATGAATCATGTTCTGAGAAGTTGAGGGGTCATTACCAAACACCACATCATGTCACTGTGTTGTAAACTGCAAAATTATGGCTGCGCAGGCTTTATAACATACCTGGGCTAAATTTATATTTCAAACCTGAAATTTTCCTTCCGGGATTATACACCCCTACTGCAATAATAAAGCATTACAGTTTATAAGTGATTTAAACAAAAGTTGTTGCAGGATTGTAGAAAGACAGACTATGCTTCTAGAGAAAACTAATAAATATTTGCAGGTAATAAGATGTTTACCTTGGTCTAAAATGTGCTTTAAGGGTATGATATCCTCTAACCTGTTTTATATTTTTCTTTGGGATAGTTAGTTATTGGAATTGTTCCTTGCTCGTGTGCTCTTCCTGTCATTACTACATAGCATGATATTTTTCATTTTTGAGTGTGACGAGAGAATATATTATTCACATTCATTTTTGTGTATGCATTAGTGATCATTGTGTTATGTAAGAAATTATTAAAGCACTTCCTTTTAGACATATACATTGATGAGGAAGCATCATATTTTTGTTAGTGCAACACTTCAGAATTGTATTAAAAAGACCTTTGCTTGTTTTGTTTTGTATCTAAGCAGGTCAGATATATGTTATGACATATGTCAGAGATACGTTATGACCTACAGACATCTAAAACTTTAAGTGCTACCCTCACTCCCCATTTTTAAAGCATAACTTTTCAGGTAGTCACCAAGACTTTGTCAAGTGCAGCTTGCAAGCTGAAGCAGTTAACTATAAATGTAACTTTAATGTGCAAGATGCTTTTGCTTATATTTACAATCTTTGATTCTTTCTGTGCCAAGCTGTATGTAGTATCTACGAGTGATTTGCAGTAGAATAATTGAAAGATGTTTTAAACTCGTGCATGCATTTGTTGAAGACACTATACAAATATTTAAAGCAGCTAGAAAATATACCATTTTTGAGAAGTCATGTAAAGACAGAGTAGAAGTTGCATCAGTCTTTAGTCCTCTTTTTCCTGTATTTTTGGTTCTTAACTGTGCATCATTTTGCCACTATTTTTATAAGTAATATAAAAATTTCTGGCCTGTTAGGAGACCTTTAAACATTACAAAACCTGTAGTTTGCTCAGTGTGTGCTCCTTTAGTAATGGAGTTTTTGAAAGTACATCTTGGGGTGGTGGTACTCTGGCAAGTCTTCACTACACAGAACTATCTACTCTAATGATGGTGGAAAAAGCCTGCCTTTCCACTGGCTTAG